GAACTCGTGCTGCAGTAGCTTCTGATAGCTTCATAGAGCGGTACTTTAACCTCTTGCACCACCAGGTAGAACCCACACATTTGTGTTTTTTAAGTTGCTAGCTGCAGTTAAACTGTATACCTGATACCAAATTTGATCTAGCTAATTTATACATTATTTTCTGATCTGCATAATCATACATACAGAATATATAGTCTCCCATAAATTTCTTTTTGAAAATCCAAAATGATCTAATTGTTATTCAAGTTGACATTTTATTAATCATTAGGAAGATGATCATTGTGTTAACTTTATCATTTATATGATTATTTATGTTTCTGAAATGCCTATCTTGTTGTTGGTCCTTTGGTTTTCTCTCCTGTTTTTTTTTTTTTACTTAGTTGTTAATCTCCTTGTTTTAATTTTTTAGACATCTTTATGTATTACGGATATAAACCTGACACAATCTTAAGTATTTTTCTCAATTTTATGACTGCCTTTTAATTTTATGATCTGTTTGCTACACAGATGTTGAATACTTTTTATTTATTTATTTTTGTCTTTATGGCTTTGGCCCTTGTTGCCATGATGCTGAAGGCTAAGTCTATTTTTAATGGACTTGCACTCTTCCTCCTTAGTTGCTATCAGTGAATTCATGGGTACCAGCCAGCAAAGAGTTGCGAACCCTTTCACTCCTCAGAGATGTCACTCTATACCTTTTGCAGAGGGAGGACGCTGAAATTCCCCATGTCCTTCCTCCCTGTCAACAGAGGGAAACAACCTAGAAATCTGAAGGAGTACTACTTCAGTACTTCAGTGCTTCTTCCTCCTCCTGTTGACAGGGAGGAAAGAGATGGGAATTGCAGCCTCCTGCCTCTGCAAAAGGTGTATGTGGGGTGACACCTCTGAGGGGCGAAAGGGTTCACGGCTCTCTGTCAATTGTTGGAGATGAAGTCCCACGAAAAGGTAGTCATATAAAAACTACTAATGATTAAATACATACATAGCTTTTTAACTTTCTAAACACTGAAAAATAAAAATATTTAAAATGCTCACAGGTTGAGAAGACCTTTCCTGTGACTTTTCTACCTCATCGCATTTCCACCCTCTCTCTTGCGTTGGCTGATGACTGTCCCATATACATCATGGAGCGGGAAAGCTATTGGGTATGAACTCTCTCATCTGCTACCACCAAATCTGGCATCGTTCTGGCAGTTAAAACCATTTTTTACTTTGACCCATCTGGTAAAAATGACCATGTGTCGGTGATCTCTAGATTTTATCCTGTTTCAACAGTTCTAAGATTTGAAACTTTCGGTTAGTCTTATGCGTTTCAACTCCTTTCTTTCTTTTTATATAAATATTATCCTTCAATATACACACACTTCCTTTTATCTTAAAATATAGATGATAATCTCCTGTGACCACCCCCAGTCCTTTTTAGCAATCATGTTCTTCCTATGTACACTTTTGCTGGCAAACTTCTTTGAACAACTGTGTATGTGCCATCTGTGGTTTCTAACCTGCCATTCACATCATAAACAATTCTAGTCTGGCTTCTACATACATCATGTAGAACCATTCTGGTCAGTGGTAACTATCGCTTAATCTAATGAACATCTACTTAAACCTCTCTAGTAACTATGAATACTATCTACTAAGCTGACCATTTCCCCTTTCTTGAAACTTTTTCCTTCTTAGCTGCTGTCCTATGTCAAAAATATTCTTGCATTTCCTTCAGTTTCTCCAATTCTGCTTATCAATCCATTTCATTCCCCTTCACTGGTTCCTTTCCATCTTGCTAACATCCAATCATGACCATTTTGTAATATTTGGTACTAGGTTCTCTTTTCCCTTTCTCGAGGTGATTTCTTTGATTTCTTTAGCTGTAAATACAATCTATAGGCCAGTGATTCCTAAATTTATTGCTTTGTCCACAGCATTTTTCTGAAAGCCACACTTCTGTGTTAAGTGCATCATTGACTTAGTTACTTTGATATCTCAAAGAGATTTGAAACTTCTCATGTTTAAAACTGATCTAGGAGGATTTTATGAGATTTTTTGAAATACTACAAAACTACAGCAATCTAATTAAGGGAGCATTAGAAAAAAACCAGATACATACACCATTGGACCCATACATATCTGGCAATTGATTTTTGACAAAGATGCCAACATTATTTAGTGGTGAGAGGATGGTCTTTTCAACAAATAATGTTCAAACAATTGAACAACCATTTACAAAAAAAAAAGATGAATCTCAATTTATATCTCATATTATATACAAAAGTTAATTCAAGATGAATAAAAGACCTAAAATTATAAAACTTTTAGAAGCAAACATAGGAGAAAACTTTGTTACTTAGGTTTCTTAGCTAAAACACACATACACACACACACACAAATTCACAAACTGTAAGATGTAAAAGCTGACAAATTAACTACAGAAATTAAATACTTCTGCTCTTTTTAAAACACTGTTAAGAAAATGAAAAGCTGAAGAATGAATTAAAATAATTGCCACATATCCGATAAATCACTAGTGTCCACATCATATAAAGAATGCTCACGAATCAATAATAACAAACCATTTGATAAAATGGAGGAAAAGATATGAATAGACATTTCACCAAAGCAAACATATGGCTGGCAAGTAAGTACTTCACTTGAATCTTAGCCGAAAGACTGAGAAGCATGGCAAATAAGTACTGGAACATATATTAAAAGGTTTTGTTTTTTAGGGAAATTAATATTAAAATTATAAAGAGATACTATTATATACCTATTCGATGGCTAAAATAATTTCTTGAAATTCGCCTTTATGAAGTTCTGCTAAGAATGGAGAACAACTGGACCTCTTATATACTGTTGTTGGGAATGCAGAATGGTAAACCATTTTAGGAAATAATTTGGCAGTTTCTTACAATTTACCATTCAACCCATCATTCCACGTAGGCCTTTACCCAAGAGAAATGAAAATATGTCCATGCAAGAATCTGTATACGAGTGTTTATACCAGCTTTTATTTCCCCAAATTTACATAAAGTCCAAATAGACCTCTTTTGGGGAGTGAATAAACTGTGCTACAAAGACCTCTACTTAGTAATAAAGATCTAATGACTGGTGAGTACAAGCCCATGGATGAATGTCAAATGCATTATGCTAAGTGGCAGAAACCAGATTCAAAAGGCTACATGGTGTATAATTTTGTTTATAACAAATCCTGAAAAAGGCCAAATTATAGGAACAGAAAACAGATCCCTGGTGGGGAGAAAGGGTAGGATGTGTAGAGTGAGAGGATCAATTACAAAGGATGTCTGGGAATTTTTTGCAATAAATGAGGTGACAGCTTCACAAAAATAGTGAATTTTACTTGCATAAGTTGTACCTCTATAAACTTTAAAAAAAAAAAACAGTAATAATGATTTTCCCTACATACATGCCTTTCCCTCATTTCCTCATTTAAAAACTACATTACTATCCACCCATTTGCTAAATTCAGATACCTGACAAAGAAACTTGAGACTACTTTTTCCTTACCTCCACCCTAATCCATTGCTAATCCATCTCTGATCTCATCAGTTTTGCTTCTGAAACACAGTGCAAGCACATCTTCTATTCTGAGAACTCACTATCCAGGTTTGCTTAGTACAAATTTGTTCCTTGTCGCCTATACCACCAAACAGCTACTCTACATTTCTTCAGTGGCCTCCCCAAACCAAGTTCTGCATAATTCTAGAATGATGATTTTCAGTAGACATTAAACCATGTCATTGCCTTACTTAAAATTTATTAGTGACTCCATTTCCAACCAGCAAAGCTTGGGGTTATTTAACAAACCAAAACCTCTTGTGGCACCCAGTCCCTCTTGCCCCACCCCACTCTCTTAATATTCTGACCTTCCTTCCTTTGTTGAACAGTATATATATATATATATATATATATATATGTATATATTATATATATATATATATATATATGTGTATGTATATATATATATATATATATATATATATTCTCTTCTAGTAACTTTGTTCACACAATTCCCTATACCTAAGGTCCTCGTCTTCTCAGCACCATTTTTTAGTGGCGAGCTCTTTTTCATTCTCAGAGTTTTAGCTTATATATTGTACATTTATTTTTTAAAGATTTTATTTATTTTTTTCTTAGAAGAAGTGGGGCCAGAGGTACAGGGGGTGAGAGGATTCACCAGAGCGAGAGTGGGAGGACAGAGCAGCAGATAGAGTAGCAGAACAAGCGGATCTACTGAAATTCACTGTTGAGGGGAGCAGCGGACAAGACAGGAGAGGTCTGCTGTGCCATGTGGGTCAGCTCGCTGGCTGGGGACAGGACTCAGGCCATCTCTGTGGTAGCATAGAGCCTCAGCCCCTAGGCCACAGGGAGGCTCACACATCATACCTTTAAAGAAGTTATTACACATTTTACAATAGCTCATTCTGACATGCTCTTTCATAGCACACTGTTATTATGGTCCTTTCCCAATTTACAACAGCATGTTATGAATTAATTTTATTACTGTTTATTCTCCTAATAGCATATAAGATCATGGAGGACAAAACTATTTTCTTTTTTGCCCCACTTACTTAGAATATTACTAAATGATGTTTGCTAAATAATTGTGCAAGTTCACCAGGTTCCTATAATGAAAAATATTAACAGTGGTAAGATTCCAATGTGACCATCATTTGAATGACCTGGACACTCCTAACTCCTTACATGCACATGTATATATAGTTACGTGTATATTTATAGTTAGATATAGCAATGTGTGGTTATATTTGTATAGTTACATATATATGTATTTGCATATAAATATGTATTTTTAGGGCTCCTTGAGCCAATAGAATTATATATGCATATATGTGTATTTTTAGAATCCTCCCAATTTAGATGTAATGCATAAAGATCTTACTTTATTGCCTGGGGAAATTAAGATCACTGAGTTTCACAACCATGGTTGTATAAGTCGATGACAATATCAGCCACCCAGAAAGGCTTACCTCTCCAAACCAATTGCTTGGCACAGAGAATGGAGCTTGGAGTTGTACAGAAATGTAAGGCAGTGTGTCCACTTAAGGAGTAGCTGTTCAGCTTTGCTCCGTGATCACAGAGGATTTTAACACAATCCAAGTTGGCCATTTCACAAGCCACGTGAAGAGGGGTTTTCCCATTGGGTCTACAGTTGATCGTAGCATTGTGGTCCAGCAGCACCAGGAGACACTCCACATGACCAAATAAGACTGAGAGGTGCAGGCCGGTTGCCCAAGAAGACTTCAATTTATAACTAGGCAACCAATAACCTGGGAAAAGAAAGGAAACAGTTTAACTCCTTCACTTAGGATTGCTCCCTGTTTTATGAGGAATTTTACACAGTGTTTTACTTTGGTCACATTTATAGCATGGGGTGGGGGAATGACTAACAAGTTATAAAATGGTAGCTGATGTGTCTGCATTGCAAATATTTGGATTAGTAGCATATATGGATGTACTTAAGTGGACTCGAGTTCTCACTGTATACTATTCTTTATTATCTGATTTATTTATTTTGTCATCTTGACTCTCTAAAACATAAAACGTTTGAGACTATCATTTCTGTGATCACTCAGTGATTTACATGAGACTCTTATGGGATTCTTTTAGCACCCTATCATTGTTTTGAATGACTCCAAAGCTGTTAGTTACAAGCTTATACATTTTATTCCATCAAAGTTCTTTTTCCTTAGAGTTGTTGCTATTAATCAATCTAACCTTAGATTGCTTTCAATGTTTCTTAAAAATTTGTCATGCCAATATTTTATTTACCTGATATTGTTTTATACAATACTTCATTTTTTTAGGAACTTAAAGCAACTTAACAAATTTTACACATACAAATTTCCAAACGGTCTGGAAAGTAAGGGTAAAGAGAAAAAAAAAAGGAAAATAAAATAGGTCAAGGGTGAGACAGCTATGTAAAATACAAATCATGTCCTGTATACTTGAAGCTCACTGCAAATTTGTCTTTGAACTTCCTAGCAGTCAAAAGAAATAGGGAAACATAATAATATGTTCCACAATTAACTGCCCATAAACTATTCACAAATTAATTGATCGGGAAAAGCATAGTTATTCCTAGCACTAAGATCTCAGATAATTTTCCCATTAGTTATTGTCACTCTTTCCCTCCACCTCCATCTCTTGCCTTTCTCCCTCTGACTTCTATCCACTGTGCTAGCCCCTTTATCCAAGTCTGCAACGATTTAAGTATATGACAAGCTATAGCAAAGATAACGTTATAAACCTTCATTCAGTGTCAATACTTAGAGCTGTGTGGCATTAAGCTCACTATGAGCATGGAGTGTTAGCATCAGTTCAGAAAGATGAAATATTGATGGCACAATGAAGATGCAGAGATAGCTCAACAGCTTAGAAGAGACTCTAGAGCTGAAACAACAAAATAAATTTTAACCTGGATAAATCAAAAGTTTGCTTTTAGCTTATAAAAATTCTACTCCACAAGTACAAGGTAAGCAGAACATGGTTTAATGGTAATTTATTTGAGAAAAGACCTAGGGATTTGAGTTGACAGCAATCTCAAAGTGAGCCAAGAGTGTATTGGAGCTGCCAAAAAGCTAATAAAATCTTAAGCTACATTAATAAAAGTGTAGTGCCCAGAACAAGAGAAGTAAAAGTTGTATTCTTTACTGATTAGATGAGGTCACAATAAACCTAGAATATCAGGACGATTTGGGGCACTGATGATGAGCATCAGAAGGGTGCTCAGGGGTGAGGGCCTCGTTAAAAATGGGTCTGATGGTCTGATATAAAAGTCTCGTTTAAGTGAAAAGCTCTGTGTATGGCACTCCTCTGTATTTATCCTACACATGTAATCCTTCATGTATAAAATGCCGTTCAAGGACCACGGTATTGCACACCATTTACACTGAATAATTTGTAAAGAACATGACATTTCCTCTGAGTGATGATCCTAGCAACCAAGCCTATGCACAAGAAGATGCAATGTTCTCCACCACTGCTTTTAATGGTTGACCATCAGAAACACCTCAGCTTCATCAATAGGAGACTGCTGAAATAAATTAGGGTACATCCACACCCAAGAGTACTATGCAGTCATTATAAAGAAGGAAACACTCCTAGGTACACTGACATGGACTGATTTTATAGTATATTACTGAGTAATAGAAGCAGGGAAATGAACTGTTTGCATTATATGTACTGTGATGAAAATATATTCAGAATCTGGTTACAGTGATGCCCTCCAAGGAGAACTATGGGTATGGGACTGGGCCCAAGTACATAGATTCACTTGTTTTTGAATTTCACTTTGGTAGCTGTTAAACTTACTAACTTGTACATGTATTACTATTTATAAAAATAAATAAGATTAAAATAAACTATTATTCCCTTGTTCAGAATAGAAAAATAATTTAGTTTAAAAAGATCACTTATAACATCATGCACAATGCTGATTAATTCTGGATTTCAAACTTAAATTTGTTTTTCTGTAGTCCACCCACCCAGACACACACACACACACACACACTCACATTCTGTTTTTCACATGCATGTACTCATACACACACATGCACACAGACTCATATTTTAATTTCTTTTTATCCCATTTAGAATTTTAGGGCTATTTTGCTCTCTCTTCCTCCCCTCTTCATCTCCCACCCACCCTTGCAAGCCCCCTTATCCAAATCTGGTCTTTAAAGGAAGAACAATACAAAGTTAATTCACAGTAAGGACTAGTGCACTGAGTTTAGGATTATCTGAATTTTTGTAGGAATCTGTATTCAACTAAAAGAGTTACAAGTTCTCAGAAACTAATTTGAGATTCTGGTCACCAAGAAGCCAAGGTATTTGGTGATAAGGACTTGTGTGGCAGAGATAAATAGAATCACAGGCAGTCTCGGCTGGGGAGTTTCAACTCTGTACCTCTAATGTATGTATATATGAGTTCACAATGACACACACAATATATGTGTATACAATCACTTATACATTTCTGATGAGCTATGTACATTGCATCTGTGCTTGTAGCAGAATTTTTAAGCTATCTATGGCGTGCAACCTGCTTTTGCTAATGATTCAATCAGATGAGCACCAATATTTAATCCATCATTTTAATTCTAAAATTTCCCCAACAAGCAGTTCACAAAGTCAGTCTCTCCTAACTGTCTTGAAAAGAAGCTGGTTCCAGTTCTGAAAGGAGGAGTGTGTTTTGCCTGCCGATTAGCAGCAAAGATTAGGCAGCTCTATGCAACAACTGATTGGAAACTCATGACCACTTCTGCAACGGGAAGAAAAATGATCTCAGAAAGGAAGCAGCAGAGAGCTGATTAAGAAAACACCATTTTGATGTAAAATCAAAGAAACACAGAATGTTAGCGCTGGAGGGAAGATTATCCAGTCCAAGCCTTTCATTTTCCAGATGAGAAAACTGCCACTTTTTCAGCCTGCTAGAGCCATAAGTCGCCTGTGTCAGTACAAGCTAATGGACTCAGGATATCTGCAATGCAGGGTCCCCATCTGTCTTTGTCTCTGTGGAAACAGAATAGGTTTAGCGCCAAGCCTGCTTCACAAATCACGGGGAAGGAAAGAAGATCCCAAATTCATCTATAATCTGTCACATCGCTGATATGGAAATGCATTTGCTTGTTGGTTTTTTTCCTCCTAAATTCTCAATAGTGCCAGAGAATCTATCCTGCCTGTTTATTACATGAATCAGTCATCCTTAGCCTCTCAGTCAGTTTCATCTGTGTCTCTCATAATCATAATCATTAACCAGTAAATGGGGCTCACAAACACCATGTTCTGGAATTCAGTCGACCCCCTGAATGGATTGTGCGTACAGCTCACCACTTCTAGGTGGGAATGTGTATAGGTGACTGGCGACAGACACCATAAGCTGGTGCCCTTAGGGGGTTGAAGTGGAGGAATGAGAACGGGATAGATTGCCTGCCGCGGATCAGGGTTTCCTAAAGTGTATCTTGAAGCTGTGTCACAGAACCTTGGTGTTAGTGTAACGGAAGAGAGTTCTGGATAGCTCAGCCCCAAACAGAGCAGGAAGGCCTGCTGGAGACAAAGTCTACCACACAGAGGCCACCCATAAATAATTACTATCTTAAAATGAGGCTGCACCCATAAGTTACTGTGTATCAAATACGGAAATGAATGATGATGATGTCATTTCCAGCTTACCTATCCTCACTCCAGACTAAACCTGAAATAAAGCCAGTTTTAAAAACCACTGATGAGTCTTTGTTAACATGCACTGCAACCACATGTCAAGAGATCAGAATTTGTCCTCTAAAATATAACCACCGATAGTCACAGCATGACAGAAACACAGTTAACTCATCAGGCAGTTACGTCTTTTATTTTCCCTTCTTCCTGCAGCTGGCTGCAGGACTCCAAGACCTAGAATGTGATTTCTTCTTAGCATTTGTCTTTCAAAGCTCCCCACCCCCCAACCTCCTCCCATCCCACCCCTGCAGATGGCTAGACTGTCCTTTTACTGTGAGCTCACATAGCACAGCAAACAGGGTGGGGAAAACCTGGAAACAAAGCCTTTGGTGGGCCAAGGGAAAAGCCATGCCTCCCCCTAATATAAACCACTCCCACTCTCACCCCAGATCCAGGGTCTGTGTGCAAAGACTGCTCCTTGCAGAAGAGCTCTGTTTCTGGAAGGGGTTATGTAAGAAGAAGCAAAGAGAGAAAAACACACATTTTTTTTTTTCTTCTATGCAAAAATACCACAGAGGACTCCTAAATACAGGCCAGACTAGGTTAATCCACAGGGTCTACGGTTAGTTTTTACCTTCCCAGATCATGACATGATACATAAACCATGCATCTAATTTCTTCTTCATCACCCATAGAGTAGCAACATAGATTAAGAGAGAGTTGTCAAAGCTTCCACTTTATAAATAAGAATAATATCTTGCAATGATGAAATAACACAAAGGATTCATGTTTGTATAACTTGCATTGACAGAGGACAACTCAAAATCTGTTTTCCTCAAAATCTTTACATCACCAATGATGATCACCCCAGGTCAATATCACTTGAAGTAAATGTTCTAAAGGGATTTTAGAAGTTTTATCACTTACAAAAATATGCAGGTTAATACCCTGTGTGCACGCGTGTGTGTGTGTGTGTTTAATTTAAACCTGAAACTAAGGACATATGCCTCAGTAGCTGAATAGAAAGCCTCTGACTCAGGAAATATGGTAAGGAACAATAAATACGTTTGGGCCATCTTTTGGAAATTGGGATTGATCCTGCTACATTGTT